AATTTACTACATATTTACTTCTTAGGGCCTACGGACGGCGAGCACGGGTGACTCGCCGCCCGACCAGAACCAGGCCCGAGCTTACGGCGCGTCGCGTTCCGCGCGCGCCTCAAGGAGCCATCAGACCACCACAGATGGGGCCTAACAGGGCTGATGCCGATACGGAGCCGCGGAAGACTTAACGGGTTGCCGGGGCTCCGGCTCGAAGTGCAGGAGTAGGAACGGGGTGGTTTTTAGTCAGTAAGAGTCTGACATTCCCTCCCGCCTCACCCGGGCGGGAGAAGTCATTGGATGATTTTCTTTTTTTCCCCTCAAAAAAAGGGCTTACCTACTGTATATAAAAATACCAGCTTCTGCCTGTTTGTGATATTCGGTAAAAGTAAAAAAAATATATTGGATAAAAAGTATCCTATGTCTTCATCTCCTGGTTCTAATTCTAAGCAATCTTCCCACCAAATTCAAATCGATTTAGTCGTTCTTGAGTTTTCGACAGTGTACCCAACACGACTTTCTTTTACATAATGTGTAGCTATCAAGTTCTTTTGGGAATAGCAACAATATGTCTAACGAAAGTTAAAACACTTGTTTTAAAGGAAAGAATCTTAATAGGTCAATAACCAATTTTCATTTGCTCAACACTGTTATATTAAGTGACAAACCGTTTTTCGACCTTATATAACAATAGAGAACACAAATAAAGGAGTAAAGTCTATCTACCTAATATAACAATACCTCGTAATGTTACATTGTAAGCAATGATTCAATTTGCTCGCTTTATACATGCCGCCACAAATCATGCTATGAAAAACCAGTATAAACTGACCGTTGAATGCGCAGAAAGATCATACCATGTAAGACTATGATAAAATGGATTTGTTTAGCTTGACGTGTAGTTTACTATTGTCGTCATCGTACTGTCGTCGTAGGTTGTAAAGGGCAGGCGATCAAATTAGATATCTAATTCCATAAGGTGACAATGTTTACGTACGTTTCTTTGGTCAATATTTTTTATCTATACTAGTTGTGTTTTCACGTTTCACTTGCTTCAATATCGAATTTATGTTATCTTATAGTTTAGTTTTATATTATTACGTGACCATTCTTGATTGTATACACAACTGTATGTTGCTGTTGTATAAAATATGTGTCTAAATGTGGGAGAGCCATGCTTAAGCACGAATGTGAAACAACTGCGTTGTGTTTCGTCGTGTGAGTGAGGTTACCGGAGGCCCAATTACCCCCCTTCCTAGTCTCCCGAATCCCCGTATCCTCCACAATCCTCAAATTCCCAATTCCCAAAAGGCCGGTAACGCACTTGTAATGCCTTGGTGTTTCGGGTGTCCATGGGTGGCGCTGATTGCTTACCATCAGGTGATTCTTTTGCTCGTTTACCGGCTTATGCTATAAATAAAAATGAAGTCAAATCGCTTCCGATTCTAGGTTTCGTTAAAAAGCGTAATGGTATTCTTACGCCCTATAAGCCGTGTATTTTCTCCTGTATTTATTTAAGCTCATATTGGTATTGGCCACTGCCCAGCAGTTATCGTGAAATACTAAGTTGATTTGGAGATTTTATTTGCAAATGTGGGAGCGATAAGTGTTGAAATAATCTTTCCGAAACTGTCTCTATCCATAAATAAGTATCATGAGTGAATAGATAGAAAAAATAACGCTTGCCTAGTTATTTACAGCAAAATTATTAAATTCGACTTTCATTAAAATTAAATGTACACTCGAAATGTGACCACATTGTTAATCAATCATTTAAATTAATCACCCATATTTTTTATTAGAAGGCATTGATTAATAACAACAAATAAATAAATACGTCCAAGTGGAATATACACTCAAATCAAGAGCACTAAACCGCTTAGACTGAATGAGTATAAATAAGTCCCTCATCATCATATCAGCCACCAATCCCTCTGCTGAACATGTAAATGAACATCATCATCATCATCAACAGCCTATAAATGCCCACTGCTGAGCAAAGCCTCTTCTCACACGGAGAAGGTTAGAGCATTAATCACCACGCTTGCTCAATGCGGGTTGGCGATTTCAAACTTATAATTAGAAATTATAAGTCCAGGTTTCCTCACGATGTTTTTCCTTCACCGTTTGTCAGTGGTGTCTAAATAATCTTACAAAGTACATATAACTCGGAAAAAGTCACATTGGTACTTGCCGTTGGTAGGTTTCGAACCCGCACCCTCATGCATGAGAAGTGGGCGTCTTAAACCTCCGGGCCACCACGACTTAGTACAATTGAAATTTAAATACATGAACATACTGTGTATGAAATACAAACATGTACCTGCAGTAATGCACTTGTTAACTAGAATAACTAGCTAGAGTATTAACGTGACAGCCAGTAACAGCTGTGTTGTGTCTATAATTCACACCATGGGGCTCCAGCGAGCGTTCTCCCGAGGCGTCGTAAATTAATTACATTGCAACACTCTTATAAATTACAAAAATAAACTACTTGCCCGTTGTTGTTGGCAGACAGGGCTGTTCTATTTTAACCTTTTTATCAGTTTTACTATCGACTGACATAGTGATTGAGTGGTTTTAAGACTTTTAACATAACATAACAATGTAACACCCACTTTTCACTATTTATGTTACGAGTCCCATGTAATAGGGAGAGAACCTATTGCCATATACTGGGTACAATTCGAGACTTAGTGCTACTACTTAGATTTATAAGATTTATAAGACTTTTGTAAGCGATATTATTGAGTTTCTTCTTAAATTTATAGTTACTTCATAGCATAGACGTACTAGGAATGTGTGCCTTTTGAGGAATTTTTCAGTCATCTAATATTTTTAACATGTAGTACAGGTATGCCCACCTAGGTATGTCAAAGTGTATACATTATGCATACAGTTGCGTCCATTAATACTGAGATCATCAATACTCGCCATAAACAGAAAATCATTCCTCAGTAGTTGTACTCGCGACCACTCAACCGACAAAGTATTATAAAAAACATAACATAACATAACATCACGCCTTTTATCCTCAAAGGGGTTAGGCAGAGGTGCACACAGAAGTAACGCCCACTTTTCACTATTTATGTTATGAGTCCCATGTAATAGTGGGTGAGCCTATTGTCATATACCGAGCACATTTCCAGACTTCGTGCTACTATTGAGATTTTTTTTAAAACCCAGTAATTTTTTGCCCGACCCTGGAATCGAACCAGAGACCCCTTGCCCGGCAGTCGCACTTGCGACTACTCGGCCATCGAGGCAGTCTTATAAAGGCAGGCAGTATTATAAAACTAAAGGTATAATTAAATAGTATGAATAATAATCAAGTAAATACTAAATACTGTTTTTGTTACGACACAGCACGGTGACCGGCTAGGGGTGAATCGTCTGTCTTTATGACCAGTATTTAAATTTCAAATTATGTTGAGTGTCTATGAATAAAGTAGGTACTGTTTTCTATTTTCATGGAATTGCATGTTTAATAAAGTACTTCGAGTGAATACACTTTTTGTTTTGTTTTGTATAAGTAATTTATGTCCATGGCGCTTCTGTACTTACAATAAAATATGTATTTAGGTACACCTGTTTGTCACTTTGTTCGTGTTAACTGTTAATATTATCTCCATAACAATTTGATTTTCATATCACAGAGCTTCACTGACTGCAATTCTTATTGGGATATTAGGTTGGTGTATTAACATTACATTCAATAATAAAATGACACTCGGAAATTATATTTTTGATATCTTTAGATATAATGTCTGATACAAGGATTCATGATAGCTATCTCAAGCCCCTCGGGGGCGTACATGCTCAAAAATGGGTTTACGTAGAACCCATTTTTGAGCATGTACGTAATTTATCACATGTAGTATATGTTATTTGGCTCGTTGTACCGGGCATAATTCCAGACTTCGTGGTTCTAGTGAAAAATTTTTACGAACCTGAAACCCTTTACTTGGTAGTTGTGACCACTCGGCCTATGTAGCAGGTAGTGACTAGTAAGCATAAAATGACAACGTTGATTACTGAATGTAGTTAAACCAAGAAGTATTTATCCTTATACATATAATTTACAACTAGGATTAAATTTATTTGCATAAGGATACAGTACTTAAATACAATAGATCTACGTAAACAACTACATGCGTATGTATTTAAAGGAAAAACATGATGGATAGACTGTATCCAGTCAGGTACTGAAGGAAATTGGAATTTAAACCAACTTTGTGGTAACAAACAGGCACAATACTATAATATAGCTTTGTCTGTTGCTACGTACTCAGTTATAAACAAAATGAATACAAAGAATATTAACAATAGTTTATTTGTAATAGACCTTAGACCTCAATTTAGTATTCAGATGCGAATACCTAGGCGTCTACACGAGCTATTTACTACGAATTGTTGTGTTTGTGTATGTGAACGCATGGTGATCTCTGTTACGAGCTATGTGGGTCTCATTCCCATGGTGGTTTATCTTTTAGTGAGCGAAGGCCGTAGCCAACACGCGAACGCGCGAGCTCCGCGCCTGATTGTATCACATTCGGTCGGTGTACATGGCGCGAAACGGCCGCGTCATAAACCATACTTTACGGCGTTCCGTGTTAAACAAATAGTTTGTTAACTTTCGTGCTAACCTAACAGTGCCTCCGATGCACTGTACTGTCTACAAAGAAAGTTTGCATAACAACAGTGATCACTTAGTTTCACAATGTGATTAACATGGAAATATACAGTTTCGTACATAATTAAAACGCGTAACTTTGCCACAAACCAAAATGACTCAGTGTTTTTAAAAATTAAAGTGTTTGCAGCTATAGTGTTCCAGACTATTAAATAGTGGAATGTGCGTTCTTAGGTCTGTTCAAACCAGATACGAGAGCATAAAAATAGAACAATTATAAGATCCTGTGCTACGGATCTGATAGTTATCTATTATGGGAGAAGCTGATGATAGCATCTATTTGTTATAAGTTACAGTGTAGATACTCGTGAGCAATATGTCGTACAGCTGGAGACGGTGGCTTCCTGCCGTAGTCACCATAGTGTGCATGATCGTGGGCGTCAAAGCAGAATCGAATTGTACAGGTTAGACCATTTTATCTATTGTCACCAAGTGGGTCATCTTTTTGACACATAGACAGCTGTTAATTGCGTGGGTGATTAACTAATAGGTTATGTGAAGTATGCTGCACAATAATTAACAGTGGCTAGTCTGGTCACGTTTACAACTTATTGAGTTAACTCATTTCATACTTAATCGAACTGAAGATTGCAACGCATGAAATTCTTGAAACGAATTATAAAATCCTTTTAATACACAAACATAAAACCTTTTGCACCGTTTCCTTATCTCAATGATCAGAGCCTACTCCAACTAGTGGATTGTACTACGTTTCATAAGTACCTACGATACATACTTATTTACCTTAAAATAACAATGAACTCACTTCATCCGTACTTAGAAGTTTTGTTTTATATAAATTACAAAGCATAACGTTTATTGTTTACCTTTTGGTGACTTCATTTTTAACATTAGACTCGTCAGTATCTAATGTTGTGTATGTGTGTTTTTGTTCGGCATTAATATTTCGACATAGAACAATATAACGTTATTATTGTTTACCATATGTTGGAGCAGGCGCTGCGATGGGTCAGCCTGACATACCTAAATATAGAAAGCTAATTTGTATAAGAAAATCTAACAGCATAGTGTTACTTTCCCACTTTTCCGCGTATCTAATACTGGCATTTTGAATTTGTTTAATTAATTATGGTCACTAATTTGTAACTAAAGCTTGCTACTGACTTATATAGGACTGCTGGATGTATATAGAAGATAGCTTTGCAAGGGTATGTATTGAAGTAATAGATATCGTATGGAGCTTGGACGCCGTGTGGATACCGGCAGTGCTAACCAACCGCGCACCTTGTTATACCTGATGTTAATAATATTACCAGTCACTAATATTGAAACCATACACCCGAGGCTATTACGTATTTCTTTATAATCGTTCAACAATAGCAAAAATATTTGTATTATAAAGGGTAATTTTGCTTAAAATCACTTAGTGAGTAAATGGAAAAGTAATAAAACGCGTTTCGTTCAGGGCTTCGAAGCTATTCAAATGCAAAATCATATTTCATCTGGCTTCATAGACTGATAAATTGACTCCTATTTCACACCGCTGGTTTGAAATCTGTGATAGGTAACGACTTTAATGCGGGTTATTTGATTGTGTAGACAGTAGACGTAGACATAACATTTAAAAATGTTATTTTAAAGTTTTAATGGAACGAGAAAAGAAAACGTGTCAATGGTTTATCATTTTATGTTAATTTAATTTTAACAAAACCATCAAAACCATTCCTATTAGAATACTCGTAATTCCTGTTGAAATATTGTTGATTTTATTTTATTATGTGACTAGATTAGAGTGAACGCTTTGGATAAAGGACTATATATAAGATAATTAATGTCCACTTAATGTCAGTCTATAATTATAACTTTTAAATCAATTGGGTAACGCCGGGCGTGTCTTACGTCTTATAAATAAGAATAAGGAGACATCTGTCCGACATTTGTATAAATAAACCAGAAATCTGCTACGAACTCTTAAAGTTGGATTATCATACTATTTTTTGTTGATAGAGTTGGTCTTTCAATGATATTAAAAAGTTAAATAATTTTTATTTTTTTTAGACTTTATGAAGTACGTATCGTTAATGATGACTTTTCGGCCAGAACACTAACTAACTGGATACAATTTTAGGTCAGGCCAAAGTGTTATTATACTTTTTAATTTTATAAAATCTCAGTAAGTAGCACAAGGTCTGGAATTAAGGCTGGTGTATGGTAAATAACAATATGATACAACACATCTCAACCTATATGTTAGAGAATTACTATGTAGGTATAATTTTACGTATAATGTAGAGGATAACTTATTAAAAATAGAACAGTTCATTTGTGACAATACATATCAAGTCTATTGTCAATACAAACTCTAGTTTTATCAAAACAAATCAAACATCGTAATATTGTTTATCGGTTAAAGTTCATGCTGATATTTCGAAAGAAAACACACTGGGTGGTGACCTGTCATAACCCATACACAAATTGATTGATGTTTATTTTGAACTTTATTAGCACTACGATAAGGTTGTATAAACATTCGATTATTTCACTTTGAAGGAAGAAAATTTGCATTCTAATAATTCAAAATTCCAGCGCCTACGCAGTTGATGATAGGAGGTTTGGCACTATGCCACGAGAATCTGTATCTGTTCTAATTGGAACAATATTATCGTATATCATAACTGTTCTAACATAATATCTTGTGGTTCTTGATACATTTAGAATATGTATCTATTTCTATAGTGAGGGTATGGGTACTTGAGTAATTGTAACACGTTGCTAGGAAATGTAAATGATTTATCATTAATCTTTTTTTATAAAATTATAGAGGTATTATTTAGTCCCAAAAAGGGCAATGCACTTGATAACTTCTATGACATTGCGATTACCAATAAGTGATCCTCTAAACCATATGTGTAGAATAGATCCCCGTTTAAAAGGCTGATAAGGCACTTGAAACTTCTCTGGTGTTAATTATTATGTTTTTGGCTTACTCACGTAACTGTTTGGCGAGGAACTCGACTAGTTTCAAGCCATGCTAGAGGCTCATATTCTCATATCATAGTCTCTGGTGTTACTATTATACCAATCGGTGATCCATCTACACGTAAAAGGTACACTTTTTCTCCCATATAATTTCATAAAGCTATTTTAATCACCTGATCTCTTAAAGAGGAAAAATATACTATAGGAAAATAGACAGAAAATGCATTGTTATCTTGATGACTAAATGTGAAATTCCTTTGAAGCGTGTGCGGGTGTTATCTACTTCGTGCATATTTGGCTCCAAAGCGATCAATGTTTGTTTACTGTTAAAAATATCTCGATTGATCCGTATAGTCAGTACTTAGAACTCACACATTGCAGATCAGGTGTAATAATTCTACGTGCGCTATAGTTAGAATTAGGGAATATCCAAAAAGATAGGAAGTCGTCTACATCATACCTAGTAAATCGAATCATTCATTTGTTGTGACTGGTCGATCGATTAACTCCTGCGCATCGTAGTGGAAAATACGCGAGGAACAAATACTAGTTTGTCCTGTAGCTAACTGTTTTGATATATCCTCTTTGTCAAGTGAAAACTCTAAAATAGATAATCGTACCAAATATAATCCTCGTATCCTTTCTTATGTTATAAATATGAAAGTATATTTGTCTTTCTTCGATCTAAAAATTGTTTTATTGTATGATTTTTTATATCTTGTTAGGAGACTGACTACTCCAAACATAAAAGACATAGGTATATGATCTTTTTTCGTAAATAAGGAACCTTTCCTTTACATTCTTGTTTACTTTTAAGACGGAAGAACAAGATAAAGGTAATATGGAGTCTGACTCAGACCCAGACACAACAGTTTAAGTTTGTCTGAGAGGGGAAGCCAACTTAGGGTTGTCGCTTTCCGCGCAAATGTCATTTTTTAACAAAATTATTATAATAGAGAAAACCTCTGTTATTAGTTGAGATTGTTTTGATTTGTTGATTGTGATTGTTGGATTGTTATAAATTATAACTTATTTAAAAATGGAACAGTTATGTGAAAGTTACGAAATTGCATTTAATATCGTCTAATTTTCATTCAATTAAAGGCAAGTAGTACCTAATTCACGTCGCGGAGAACCTAACGGGTGACCGGGGCTCCGGCTCGACGTGCAGGAAAAGGAACGGGGTGGTTTTTAGTCAGTAAGAGTCTGACACTCCCTCCCGCCTCGCCCAGACGTGAGCAGACAATCGATGATTTTCGCCCCTTAAAAAAAAAGTACCTAATTCACATCACAATCAGCAACAATTTTAGTTATTGACGTATTTTAGAAGAACGGAAAATGAGATTATTGACGTATTCATCGTCATTATTATCCTGTTGTACATCTAAATTTTAAATTCAGACGTAAGGTCCTGGTATCACACCTGTTCCATAAAGGGCAGCCTTACACTGGCCATGAGTCAGTCGCATCAATGGCGACTCGGATGAATTCACGATAGTTTACGAGAAACGTATTGTGACTCATTTCTTGTCTGTAGGTACAAGCAGACGTTAATCATGCCATTGATATTTCATCTCCCTCCTTTTTTATATTAATACAAGATTTTACGGTGCTTTAATTTAAGTGGAGTAGCTTGTTTGTTCAATGGATTAAGAATACCTTTGTCGCTTGATTGGTTACAAGTGTGATTTAATGATTTTTTATGATAAAGTCGTGGTCACTTTTCCGATCTAAACGATTAACATTATTTTATTATTAGTTACACTCAAATACCTACCAAACTATTACCTACCGAAAAATAAGAAACCTGACGGTATGTCATCAAAATTTCTAGAATAAAGAAGATAGGAGTAATAGGAGTATGTATTGATAAATTAATGAATACTAACTAATGAATGAAGATACAAATAACCAAAATCAAAGACTTGGCACTACAAAAGAGACAGGCATAATAATAATGTACATGTGTAAATCAGAACTCGTCACAATCGTGGTTCCGAAGACGTAACGTGGGCTCAATCAAGGTGAGCCTATGACCCGCTAGAGGTCATGGCCATGGTGAGTTTAATGGATGTGGGAAGAGCATAACCCTACTGTTTGTAATGTTAAACAAAGTAAGAGAATAAAAAACAACAGACACACCTACTGAGAGGTGTTAGAGTATACATATCTCTAGCAAATCTTTGCATGTTTTGTTCACGTCAAACTCGGAAAAAACGTGCAAGCAATTTATGTGCATAGCTTCGCATTTACGTGGGACTTGATAATTGCTTACGAACAGCATTCTTGTCTAGACTCCTTGGTATGTTGTGGTATGTTATTGGACTCCTTCGTCTTCAGACTTTTAAGATAAGAATCATCACCCATCTGCATATTAGGCGCATGGACCGTTAATTTACTTTGAGTGCGCAACTGTAATGTCAACACGTGCTCTAACTCCCAAACTCCATATTATTCTTATGTT